TTTGATTCACATTTAACTCGATACACAAACAATCAATACAGATAAGAAAATTATAATGGCCCACTAGAAGTCTCAGGACAAGAACAACCTTTAAAAATGAAAACATAGCGAACAAAGTGAACAATGTAGGCTTCCACATACCCGACTGGATCAAATATGACTCCTTGAACTAAATCAAACTTGAGCAATCCAGCCCCTGGTGTATATCGGACGGAGGCTGGTGACTGGTCCTCCGCGGGGAATAACACAACGTTTGTTGTATCGCTGTCGCTCCCAGAGCTCTTCGCGTGCGACTTGGACGTGGATAGGTCCTCCACTAGTGGTCTTGTCCATGTTGAAAATCTTCTATTTTCCTCTCCTAACGTATATTGGTTTAACGTGGTAGTTGAACTCGGCGAGTGTGTCTTAGTTCTCGGTGTTGAAAAATGCTTTGATTTCGGCGTTGGTGAGAGTCGCTGGTCCCCTGCTGGCTCTCTTCCCCGCTATACTCCACCCGTCCCGGCACAGCTCAGTCTCCAGACGCTCCCTCTCGTCCAGTCGGGCGTGCACCCCCGGTACTGCGTCTGTCAACGTTGGGTAAGTCCTCACACCATCTTCCATGAAAACTCTCAGTTGCGCCGGGAACAAACATTTTGCCCTGATATTCATCGTCTTTAGCTGTTTAACCGCATCACGTACCAGCGCTCTTTTCTTCTGCAACTCCGGGGAGAAGTCGTGATCAAAGTAGATCTGCTTCCCTTCGTACATCACTTTTTTCTGCTCCCAGGCCTGTCGTAGTATGATTTCTTTTACTGAGAAGTCCAAAAATCTAACGACAAGCGATCGGGGGGCTGCTCCTGGGTTCCTGGGCTTGGCAGTGAGCGCTCTGTGTGCCCTTTCAATGACCATGTTAAGATCAGGGGGAAGTTGAAGAACAGATTTAAGCAAGTCATGTATGAAAAGCTTGACATCTCTCCCCTCCCTGTCTTCGGATACTTGATAAATTCTCAAATTGTTCCGCCGCAGACGATTTTGCATGGCTTCACATCGTGCATTCAGATCCATTTCTTGGTTCAATAGATAACGGAGGGCCCGCTCGTGGCGCTTAGCTGTATCCTCATTAGCACTAATACGGTCTTCTGCCTCCGCAGTTCTCTTTTGCAGTCTAGTAAGATCTTCTTTCAGTGCACCGAAGGACGCTTCCAGCCGTGTTAAAGATAGCTGAGTCTGAGTGTGTCCATCTTGGTTGTCTTTCCTCATTTTCTCGAGTTCTGAAAATAGTTTTGACATGGAGTCGGGCATGCTAGCATCCGACGGTGCACTCTGCGTTTGCATCAGGGTTAGCTGTTTTAAGTTGTCGCCTTTGTCCTTAGACGGATCTTGTTTAGATTGTCCTTTGCCTCTTGACGACATGTCGAACTCAATAAAATATGCCGAGTTTTAAGCTGGTTGTGTTAGGAAATTATCAAATTTTGGACGGAGCGTGTCCCTCAAGCTGCTATCAACATGGCGTCACCGGAAGCCTCCATGATGACACTTTTAAGACCAGAAACTCTCTTAATAAAAAACAAGACTCAAATCTAAAAAAACCTTTTTAAACTTTAAAATATGTGTACTTTTGTACTGTGTGTTTAATTATCTATGCGTTCTTGGGTTTCACTTTATGGACTTTCCCTTTTACACTTGAACATTTATCTCAGCATACTGTATATTCTACTAATTTAAAATAATTGCAGCATTTTTCAAATGAAGTCAATATGAATTGGAGCACATTTTAGAGCCAGTCTCCTGTGCTGCGTGCATCAGCAGCAGTAAGGTCAGGCGTGTAGTCAAAACAAAAACAAAAGTCACCACTTGAATGTGAATTGGGTGAAGTTTAACTTAATAATATAATACTTTTACAGCTAATCCTAATTCCCTCTTTCTTTTTAGACGAAGTCTATGATCAATAATCACTTTTTACACAGATTCTAATTTGTGTAAAAAGTTTGAAAAACAACTTTTGTAACTAAAATAAAAACATAAAAACAAACACAACTCACAAAAAGTTAAGAAATAAGCAGCAGATTTAAAAAGAAAAGCAAAGCTTTTTGTACTAATCTTTGGGTTTCAAAAACATACTAATTCAAAACTTATTCACTAATGGTGTTTAAAAATGTTTAACTGTGTCATAACACAATGTTCAATTGCAAATGTCGCAAATTTAACGGAATAACAACTATGAAAAGCCAAAATCCTAAAAGCAGTAGCTCTGATTCAGAGCCAGAGCAGCGAAGGAGGGGGCCGTTTCCCTGACAACGGCAGCAAGATAGAGCTGCACACACACAGGCAGAAAATAGTGTTTTAGCAAAAATGCAAAAACAGAAAGAAGAAGAACTTTCAAGATTACTTTGTTAAGCGAATATAACTGATGTTGTTCTTTAAACTTTTGTCATCCAAGTCTAGAAATGGCCACTTTCCACACTTGTAACAAAAGGCACTAGTGTTTAATGTTTCCCTTTTTATAATTACTTTTAATTTTACACCATGGTTTCACTAACTATTTTCTATTCTCTATTCTCTGCCCCGGCTACTCCAAAGGACAGGGACCCCGATACGTCAGGGGTTCCTGATTCTCTCTGTCCTGACTACTTCAAAGGACAGGGACCCCGATACGTCAGGGGTTCCTTTTTCCTATAGGGACTGGTTACCCACACAGCTAACCTGTTTTCTACAACATAAGACATGACAAAGACGTGACAAAGACATAACAAAGAAAATTTGATTTAGAGAGATTTGGACAGACCTCCGGGACAGCTCAAAATTTAGCTAGTATCCAATTATGCAGACTTTACATATTAAAAAAGGTGTCTGCTTACCTTATTTTCTTTGTCCGGACTGTTCGAGAGGTCGACAACATCTTTTCCGCGTCGAAAAATTCAATTTAAAAAATAAAAGTGACAGAAGCAACAAGAAGTATCCAGGAACAGCTCTTCCAGTCTGCTGGAATCCCCGTTCCCAGACACAGCATGCCGATCTCTCACGCCGAGGAAAAGAAACAAAGCAAACTCCCTCAAAACAATCCAGAGACTGGCGCACACTGAGCCGCGCATTCTCCACCAAATCTGTCAGGGATTCAGCAGACAGAGACGGATCGTGGTGCGCCAAACTCTGGAAGTTTATTTAAGTTTCTCTCAAGTTCCACTGGTTTACTTTGTTTCTTTCTCTCAGACAGAATAAAGGCAGTACACAGTTTATATAGTCATTGTCACGTCACACATGGAAAGACATACGTGTCACACAGAGACAGTCACATCATAGTGATAACATGGAGTCCTTGTAGAGTCCTTGTACAGTCCTGCACGTAGACCATATTGCTATCTAATACTAACATCACATGACTCAGTCTGAACACACACACACCGACTCAACTCATCCAGAGACACAGACACACACAAAATGTCAGTGTTGGTCATGCTGGACCTCAGCAGACCACAGCATTCTACTGACAGAATGTCAGTTTGTTGATGTGAACCAAAGCTCCTGTTCTAAAGTAAAACTGGGGTGCCACAAGGATCAGTATTCGGCCCGATTCTCTTCACACTTCATATGCTGTCTATGGGACTGGACCAGGACTGTGTATTGTCTCTGGGACTGGATCAGGACTATACAGTCTATGGGACTGGACCAGGACTATACAGTCAATGGGACTGGACCAGGACTGGACATTTATCAACAATTATGGACATTGGTCTCTGCTTATTGACCAATGGCTCCATGTGTTTGTTATCGTTGCATTTCCTGTGTTTGAACTGTTTGATTCTCTGATATGATATGATAAGATGTACTTTATTAATCTCACACAGGAGAAATGTACATGTTTTTATGTATGTATCTGTGTTGGTGAATCAACAGCTTTGTGAAGTCCTCAGAGATAACGACTTCTGTGATTAATGGCTGTACAAGAACAGATGTTGAATAGAAAGATCTGCCACTGGGAGTGCTCAGACTCTGGGTGTGGATCTATTGTCGCCTCAGACTTTTCTCCTGACGACATTTTTGAATGAAAAGCAACACTCAGCACATGCAAATACTGAGGGCAGCTCCCAGAGAGTCAGATAGTGACTCACAGGGATCTTCATTACATACTCCAGCTTTAAACATGTGCTATTTATGAAACTAAAGTTACACAACCCAGCTTTAATCATTTATGAGACTAAAGTTACAGACCCCCGCTTTAAACATGTTTATTGATAATGATAGTATTACACGGAGATGAAACTCAACAAGATACGAATTAATGAGAGGGCGGGGCTTGGCTTTGATTGGCCCTTAGTGGCGATTGGGGGCGGACCAGCCAGGGGAAAGCTGTGCGCTGATTGGCTGAGAAGGAGCATTACCCGCGCGGTGAAAAATAGTCTGGTTTGAAACGGGATCAGAAGAAGTACCGAGCTGCACGCGGAGAGAGTACCGAAGGGGACACCGGAGAGAGAGAGACTGAGGGGGACACCGGAGAGAGAGACACTGAGGGGGACACCGGAGAGAGAGACACTGAGGGGACACCGGAGAGAGAGACACTGAGGGGGACACCGGAGAGAGAGGACCGAAGGGGTCACCGGGAGAGAGACCAGTGAAGGAGAACGTGACCACAAATAAGACTCTCACCGGCATTTAAAGCTGAGGTATGTAATTTTAGTCTTATAAATAACACGTTTAAAGCGGGGGTCTTCATCTTTTTAGAAAACAATGATTTGTGTTAGAGGGGTCCCTGTGAGCCACTATTGGAATCTGAGAGAGACCAGAGAGAAAGAGACCAGAGAGAGAGAGAGACCAGAGAGAGAGAGAGAGAGACCAGAGAGAGAGAGAGACCAGAGAGAGAGAGAGACCAGAGAGAGAGAGAGACCAGAGAGAGAGAGAGACCAGAGAGAGAGAGAGACCAGAGAGAGAGAGAGACCAGAGAGAGAGAGAGACCAGAGAGAGAGAGAGACCAGATGATAAATTCTGATGTTGTTTGCTGCAGATTCTTTAACAGAGGAGCAGTGATGGTCCCTGCAGGCTCCGCTCAGACCGCACACATCAAGAGGCCAATGAACGCCTTCATGGTGTGGTCCAAGGTGGAGCGCAGAAAGATTATGGTCCACGCCCCCGAGCTCCACAACGCAGAGATCTCCAAACAGCTGGGGAGGAGGTGGAGGAGCCTGAGGGAGGAGCAGAAGGAGCCCTACGTCCAGGAGGCGGAGAGACTGAGGCTGCAGCACATGGCAGACCATCCGAACTATAAATACAGACCCAAGAAGAGGACCAGCCAGGACCCGGACCAGGACCATCAAGACTGCAGACCGAAGAAGAAGACCTACCAGGACCAGAACCATGAAGACTGCAGAGACAGATCAAAGAAGGCATTCACCCAGGTGTCAGACCAGAAGGAGAGAGTTCTGTTCCCCCAGGGTCCAGAACAAGTCCGGACTTATGCCGAGTTCCAGAAGGGACTGGACCAGGACCAGGTCTGGCTTCAGCAGCGGGACCATCAGGGCCTTCAGAGCAACAGAGGTTCTAAAGACCATAAGGAGCGACCCAAGAAGAAGGTCCTGTTCTCTAAAAAGGCAGAGATCCAAGAACCAGAACTGTTCACACCAGACCAGAAGGTAGTGCGTCTTCAGCAGCGACACCATCAGGGACCGAAGAACCATAAGACGGACCATGGAGACAGAGTCCAGAAGAGCCCTGCTGCATCTGCTCTGTCGTCTTGGCTCCCACTCACTCCGAAGACCGAGCCTCAGGACCACCAGGTTTGTCAGGGTCTGACTCGGGTCCAAGAGGAGCAAGACAAGAAACTAGTGCGACAACACCATCAGCGCCATAAGAACCATAAAGACCAACCCAGGAAGGAGCGGGTCCACAGACCCGATCATCTGGGCTCACGGGAGGCACGGCCCTGGAAGACTCCGGCTCAGACTCCCACTCGCACCCCTCGCCCTGCGTCCAAGCCCCGCCCCCGTGCGTCCAAGCCCCGCCTTCATGTGGAGAAGCCCTGCCTCCCTGTAGAGAAGCTCCTCCCCATTGTGCTGCGGAAACGGTGAGCTTTATTAGTGACCTGAGCCTGTGTTTGCCTTTCTCCAGTCTGATATTAATATTCTTCAGGTCTTTGGAGGCGGAGTCTGAGGATGAAGAGGGGCGGGACCACGTCTCCTTGACGACAGAGCAACAATGCATCATTCGCAAACACAGCTCCTCCGAGTCCGGTGAGTCCAGACCAGTGAGTCTGGTCAGACTAGGGCTGAGCGATAAATCAATTTGAATTATTAAGTCGAATTTGACGTTTAGGGGGATTTCTTTTGAATTACAAATGTGATATTTCATATAAATATTGCATGTGTTTAATAGGATTGATATATTTGCTATGGCCCTCAGGTGCCCTGCAGGTGCGTTGTGTCACTGTAAGTGAAGTTATTAGAAAACTGTAGCTACAGTACATTTTCACTGTTTACAATGGCAGGTCCCTCTCGTTTCAGTGAGTCTCGGTCCCACTGAGTCTAGGTCCAGACCAAATGTCAAACAGTTGTAAAGTTACAAACCTCTGCTTTAATCTCTCTCTCTCTCAGATCTGGAGGACGAGCGATCTGAGGACCTGGGTGAAGCCTGCAGCCTAAGCCACGCCCTCTTCCCTGTAAGCCCCTCCCCCTGTCTCTCTGGTCCCACCCTCACCCAGGACCTGGCTCTGGTTCTGGACCTAGACTCGGACTGGTCCCACCTCTCAGTCCGGTCTCACTTTGAGTTCCCAGATGCAAGGAGCATCCACCTGCCGGACCTGGTCTTTTGCTGCTGAGACCGGACCTGAGTCTGCACCAGGACCTGGGTCTGGACTTAAATAGCTTGATTTGATTACGTCCCGTTGCCTCCTCCTCCCTCTGTGACACTGGTTTCTTCGGCTCCTGTTGCGTCCCCGCTGCTGAGGACCAGGTCCAGGGGCCGACGGACTGAAACTGTTCTGAGCTTTAAAAAGTGACTTCACAGCTCAAGTTGACCCGAATGACACATGTTTATGTTCTCACCGCTTCATGGTTCCAGCTTTAACTGAGACGTACCATGTGTTACAGTCAGAGCTGGAGTTGGTTGGATGACCCTGATCTCAAAGGGCAGTAGAGGACCAAACCAGGACTGTGTGGTTTCTGGTCCAGAACTTTTATGAGATTTCATACCTGTGTTTATGATCTGTTTTGTAAAAAGAGAGAAATGTAAATGTATATTTTGTGAGGCGGCAGTGGACTGGATCAGGTCTGGGACCAGAGTAGGTCCAGAACTGAAATATATTTTGAACTGAAGGGCCAAAACTGGTGTGCATCAGGTCCACTTGCACTTGTTTTTTTATGCAATAATCAAAATAAAACACTGAAATATTTTTTTTAATTGAAGAAAATATTGACTTCTGAACCGTTTGTCAGAGTCTCAGGATCTGTAACTATTTTAACAAAGAGTTTCATCAAACAGACTCCAGCCAATCACACGCAGGCTACAGGACACTCAGCCAATCACACGCAGGCTACAGGACACTCAGCCAATCAGACGGTTTCATCTTTTATTAAAGCTGCTCTGTAGAACATCCCATAATAAGCTCCATTCAAACACTGCAGGACCTCTGTCTGAGAAACACTGGGGGGAGGGGCTACCTTACTTTCATTATTAAACACATAGAGCTGCAGGGGGCGCTGTGGCAGTAACATGTGACGTCAGCATGAATAAATTATAAATCGGTTTATATAAATAATGAAAACATGTCACAACATATTTACAGAAAACTAAAATGATATTTCTACTGTTTCCACAACAACTGAGAGGAAGCCATGTTTGTAGTTTTGTTGCAGCATTTGTAGTATCAGCAAATAACAATCGGCCAATCAGACAAACTCAAAGCGACAATGAAGACGCCATGTCTGTAGTTCTGTACAGATACATTTGTAGTTTCAACATTCAGTGATTCTCTGGAGTCAGAGTGGACTGGACCGGGACTGGGTCAGGTCCTTTTGGGGTCCACAGATCTGGTCTTTGGGGGTGGTCGCTTCTCTCTGGTCTGGACCTGGTCTTGGGCTCTGGTCTGATCCAGTACTCTGTTCATGACCTGGAGTTGGACCTGTATCGTCCTGAGCTCCTGAAGGATCCTCACCACGTCCTGCAAAGACCAAAGACCTGTTAGAGCTGGAGGAAGAGTGGACATGTGGCAATTAAAAAGCAGGTTTTTTAGTCCAAGTGCAAGTGACTTAAAGTGACTTAATTTACAGTCTGTTATACTTGTAGACTGTAAAAATGAATGGACGTAGTCACCCCTATCTCCTCCGTTGAGAGTAATGTCTCACCACTTTTACCGTCTATGGGCAGTGTCAAAATGGCTGCGGGGGCTGGAAAATGAAAAAAACGCATTTGTGCATGCGTCAGCCGCTACAATCCCACTTAATTTGACGAGTGCCTTCAAAATTCCACTGCGACTAAAAAACGGTCCAAAAAAATACACTCCCCTCAACATTGACAGCATCTGGAACGTACAGTGCCTTGCGAAAGTATTCGGCCCCCTTGAACCTTTCAACATTTCAGGCTTCAAATTTTTTGTCATGAATCAACAACAAGTGGGACACAATCGTGAAGTGGAATGAAATTTATTGGATAATTTAAACTTTTTTAACAAATTATAAACTGAAAAGTGGGACGTGCAATATTATTTGGCCCCTTTACTTTCAGTGCAGCAAACTCACTCCAGAAGTTCAGTGAGGATCTTTGAATGATCCAATGTTGTCCTAAATGACTGATGATGATAAATAGAATGCACCTGTGTGTAATCAAGTCTCCGTATAAATGCACCTGCTCTTTGATAGTCTCAGGGTTCTGTTTAAAGCGCAGAGAGAACCATGAAGACAAAGGAACACACCAGGCAGGTCCGAGATACTGTTGTGGAGAAGTTTAAAGCCGGATTTGGATACAAAAAGATTTCCCAAGCTTTAAACATCTCAAGGAGCACTGCAAGCATCCATCCATCCATTTTCTTCCCCTTAATCCATTTCTGGGTCGGGGGGGTGGCAGTCAGAGCTGCACCCAGTTCACAGAGCACCAGCCCCTCACTGATCCTCCTGCAGGTGGTGAGTCCACAGGAGCTGAGATCGTTCAGTTGGGGCTTGGGCAAAGTAGGGTTAAGTGTCTTGCCCAAGGACACAACGACAGCAGTCATCAGTGGGAGTCGTGAAGTAGGTCTTACGGTGGGCTCGAACCCACGACCTTCAGGCCCAAAGGCCAATGCTCTACCAACTGAGCTACTGTCGCCCCAGCTCATCACCCTGAACACACCATCCCCACTGTCAAACATGGTGGTGGCAGCATCATGCTTTGGGCCTGCTTTTCTTCAGCAGGGACAGGGAAGATGGCTAAAATTGATGGGAAGATGGATGGAGCCAAATACAGGACCATTCTGGAAGAAAACCTGTTGGAGTCTGCAAAACACCTGAGACTGGGACGGAGATTTATCTTCCAACAGGACAATGATCCAAAACATAAAGCCAAATCTACAATGGAATGGTTCACAAATAGACGTATCCAGGTGTTAGAATGGCCAAGTCAAAGTCCAGACCTGAATCCAATCGAGAATCTGTGGAAAGAGCTGAAGACTGCTGTTCACAAACGCTCTCCATCCAACCTCACTGAGCTCGAGCTGTTTTGCAAGGAAGAATGGGCAAGAATTCCAGTCTCTCGATGTGCAAAACAGCCCCAAGCGACTTGCAGCTGTAATTGCAGAAAAAGGTGGCGCCACAAAGTATTAGCGCAAGGGGGCCGAATAATATTGCATGCCCCACTTTTCAGTTTTTTATTTGTTAAAAAAGTTTCAATTATCCAATAAATTTCGTTCCACTTCACGATTGTGTCCCACTTGTTGTTGATTCTTGACAAAAAATTATTTTTAGTGTCCAGACTTTTCAGTATGTAAGTTGGGTGACATCAGGTCCGCCTCAGAGAGGAGTGTAACAAGGACCTTCTTCCTGTGAGGCCAGAGCTCTCTGCACTTCTGTCTCAAGCACACTATATGGATGAATAAAGAGGCCCATACCTGGTCCTGGTTCTGGTCTTCAGGGACTGCAGTCTCTCTGTTAGACTGGTCCTGGATCTCGTCCCAAAGTCCTGTTTTAGTCCTGAGCACCGACCTAGAGACAGACACAGAGTGAGTGTAGTTTGTGGTCTGCAGATGGAGAAGGGTCAGGGGGACAGACCTCAGGCTGAGGGACAGACGCCCACACTCGTCCTTCACATCTCTGCAGAGGAGGACGACCGGGACCAGGGGACAGGACTGCATCTGTCCACAAGGAGGAGACAGAGATAGTATTGCATCTGTCCTTAAGGGGGAGACATAGACAGCTGTATGTCTAACTCATGTTCTGATTGGACTCTCACCTCCTGATGGCTCTGTGTGATGCGCTCTGATTGGTTCATGTTGACGTCCAGCGGTGACTTTGAGACCTGGGGAAGACAAGAACGTCAGAAAGCAGAAAGAACGTCAGGATACACAGCTCATTTGGGGGAATCCTGAGGTGTTCCCAGCTGAGACCCTCTGTGTCCTGGGTCTCCCCTGGTCTCCTTCCGGTGGGACATGTCCAGAACACATCCTCAGGGAAGTGTGTTGGCTTTGCCCACCGGGCAAAGACCGAAACGAGTCAAAATAAAAGCTCAAAGGTTCAGAATAAGATTTTGGTCCAACCTTCTGTGTGCTGCAGGCCGGGGACCCAGGTGCATCGTGGGAAGTGTAGTCCGGCTCTGCGTCTCCAGCCACCTCGTTGATTTCTTTAGCCAAAATCGCCAGATCTTTGGCCAAGTCCTGGCTCAGTCTGAGGAGCAGAGGCCAGTGAGACTGGGTCTAGACCAGGGCTCCACCAGTGAGACCAGGTCCACACCAGGATTCCGCCCAGAGAGACGGGATATAGAGCAGGACTCAGCCCAGAGAGACCGGGTCAAGCCCATAGCCGCGTTTCCACCTCAGGAACTTTGGGGTAATTTTCCAGGGCCAGCCCCTTCAGTGTGTGTCTCCACTGCAGGAACTTCACCGACAGGGCCATTTACAGGAACTTTTACGGTCCCTCCTCCATGGTATGTACTCCGTTGGGCCCTGGTGGGACTTTGGGTTAACCCGGCGCTGATTGGCTAAAGCTAGCGCAGGCTAAAAAAACTGGCATTCAGCAGCATTAGCCTAGCAGCATTAGCCTAGCAGCATTAGCCTAGCAGAATTAGCATAGCAGACACCACTGGAAACAGCGAACAACAGCACGCCATTGATTCAGACAGAGTTTGAGGCATCGCGGCGAAATTAAAAGATATATTAAGACATATCAGCTTCACCTCAAAGCACTGGGGATTCATTACACTTCAAAACAAGCCGTGAAAAGTAAAAAAAAACTGAAGCTGAACTATGAAATTACTCAAAAACAACCGGAGTGGTTACGACTTTAAAATAAACAAATGGGTTTGGGGTAGTTTCGCTTATGCAGCTATCGAAACTCTTGACGTCGCCGAGTGGTCCTACTCTGCAGTGGAGACACGGTCACTGAGAGGACCACAGAGAGGACCACTGAGAGGACCACAGAGAGGACCACTGAGCGGACCACAGAGAGGACCACTGAGAGGACCACTGAGAGGACCACTGAGAGGACCACTGAGAGGACCACAGAGAGGACCACTGAGAGGACCACTGAGAGGACCACTGAGAGGACCACTGAGAGGACCACAGAGAGGATCACAGAGAGGACCACTGAGAGGACCACAGAGAGGACCACAGAGAGGACCACTGAGAGGACCACTGAGAGGATCACAGAGAGGACCACAGAGAGGACCACTGAGAGGACCACTGAGAGGATCACAGAGAGGACCACAGAGAGGACCACAGAGAGGACCACTGAGAGGACCACTGAGAGGATCACAGAGAGGACCACTGAGAGGATCACAGAGAGGACCACAGAGAGGACCACAGAGAGGACCACTGAGAGGACCACTGAGAGGATCAAGGGAGAGGAAGGTTGCTGTAAAAGTTCCACCCCGCTCCTTTAACCAGGAACTCCTGCGGTGGAAACGCGGCTCAAGACTCGAGTCCAGACTAGGACGCACATACAAACCACTCACTTGGCGATCTCTGCACTGTGATTGGTCCAGGTCTGGTAGGGGTCTTCTGATTGGTCGGGGACAGTGGTGGGGGCGGGCTCTTCCTCCTCTGATGAAGACGAGGCCTTGAGTCTCCGCCCCACTGCACACAACACAAACATCAGTAGTTGACATTTACACTGATTTTCACTGATTAGTGAAATTAGCACAGTTATACAGCAGGAGTCTGACCGGAGCCGCTGGACCTGGTTCTGGACCTGGTTCTGGTCTGGGTCTGCTTAGCCCCGGCCCCTTTCTCTGCCACGTTCCGATTGGCCGATGAGCGAGCTACAAGTACAGACACAAAACTGTTCAATCATGAGACCGACCCTGCCCTACCCCAAATATATGAACATTCTCCATATGGGGAGCAGCTACATAAGCTCCTCCCCTCTCTGTCTCTGGACTTCTGACCCTGGACCTCTATCCCTGGACATTTGACCTTGGACCTCTGACCCTGGACCTGTGACCCTGACCTCTGTCCCTGGGAATCTCTATACTGTGTCTTGGCCTCAAACCTGAACTCTCTTCTCCAGTGAAGGATCCTGTCCGGTGTCGCGGCAGAGCCAGGATGTCCAGACGAGAAAGCTTCTTCTCTGGCCTGGACTCTGATCCCGACTCTGGTCTGGACTCTGCAGAAGTCTTGATGGGGTCTATAGTCTTGGTCTTCATTTGTTCTGCGGTCTTGTTCTTTGTAGGCTCCGTGCTCTTGGTCTTGCTTGGGTCCTGGGTCTTGGTCCTGGTTGGGTCCTGGGTCTTGGACTTGCCGGGGTCTGGCTCTTCGGTGTCAGACTCGAGTCTGGCCCGCCTCAGCATGGAGGCTCGGGTTGGTCTTGGAGCAGACAGACTGTTGGACCTGATCAGGACCTGGGATCGGGTCTGAACCTGGGACCTTCTCTCCACCTGAGGACCACAGTTTGGGATGAGCTGAGGTTAAATGATGATTAGAAAACTCGAGTCACAAACCGTCTTCCTCTCATGCTTCTTGTCCTCTAGCCCCACCCTTTTTGTGCGTTTCTCTGACAGAAGCTCCCTCGCCGAGACCGGACCCGATCCAGACCCTGGTCTCGAGCCGTGTCCAGAACGGTCTCTGTGCCCTGGAGAGAAACAGGGCATTTTGGCTCGGATGGACAGACATTTTGGCCCAGACATTTTGGCTCGCATAAACAGACCTTGTTTCTTCGCAGACTTCTCACTGACGACGCTCGCGGTGCTCACGCTGTCCAAGTCAGAGTCTGAGTCCAGCTCCAGAGGTCTCCACAGGAAGTCTGCAGAGATCAGGTCCTAGAGGAAAAAGCTGGGTCAGAACCGGGTCGGTACTACTACTACTACTACCACTGCAACTACTGAACGTAGGGCATCCAACCCTCCTGATTGACCCGAAAACCACTGCCTCAGCCCGCCCCTTGTCCAACACCCAAACCCTTTCCATCGCCAGAAAACACCCACCTCTCCGCCCTCCTCCCCAGCTTTCCCCTCCCCCTCTTTTCTCTGAACTCTGATTTGCACAGGGTTTCTGATGCCACTGACAGCCCAATTAGAGCAGAGATCCAGCTTGGGCCACTCCCATAGTAATAACACAAAGGATACATAACAAAAACACATCAGGAGTTTGACTAATCAGCCAAATCTAATTCTTGTTTTGTGTAAGAATCAATCGACCACAGTCGCAGACACCAAAACTTAGACAAAACTGTTTCAATGTGTGTCCTTTAAAATAGAACACAAACAATCTTCCATAATCTTTATTGTCCTAAATAAGCCGCCACAGTCATGTCACAGGTTTTTTTGTTTTTTTGTTTTTATCATTTCAGATTTGTTTTCAGTTGTGGGCACAGACTTTGGTTGTTTAGTTGCAAGTGATTTTAATAAAAATGGGAATAATGTTAATGACAGAGATGCAAAAGAGCTGAGTTCTGTTGTTGAAACCACTCAGCCTGTGAGTGGCCCCTCCCACAGCAGGGGGTACTTACTAAGGGGGTCAATATTTCTAATGTAAATGTGGTCAATGTTGCCCGGTTGGATCTTTTTGTATATTACCGGCTGAATCTGTAATTGTTTGAAGAAGACACATACATTAAAAAAGCACAGGGACTGGCCTCCTGCTGGTGACCCAGCATCAGGACTAAACATAGTGAGGCAGCCTTTCAGATTTAAGAAAAAGGAATAGTCTTCCTGAAAATATGAGACAGGCTTCTTTTCTACTTGTTCTGTTTAGCTGCAACAAACAACATTGTATCTTCACTCATTTTGATGTCTTGTTGTTTCTGTCGTCTATCTCAGTAGACTGCTACAGTCTGGTCTTAGTCTGGTCTCGTACCGGGTCCAGATCTCGGAGCGAGGGCTGGCTAGAGATCTGAGGTAGCTTCTTCCTTTGGACTTCATCGGGCCGGTCTTTGGTAAAGCTCTCCTGACGAAAGAAAGTCTCCGGTCTGGTCTCTGGTCTGGTCTGGTCTATGGTCTCGGCTCTGGTCCCGTGGGTCCTCAGGTCCGGAGCAGAGCTGTTGGGCTTGATTCCGGACTTTTTGGGCTCCTGGTTCAGCTGGCGGATCAGGACTGTGGTGGCCCGAGTCTTGGTTCGGTCTGAAAACAGGAGAGAGTTGGATCAAAGCCCTGTCTTTAAAAGATCGGTTGGACTGGACTTCAGGACCTGGTCTGGACTCCGGTTTTGGACCGGGATTGGATCCAATGTAGAAACAGGAGCTGGGTTGGTCCGGCCTCTGGTCCAGTTTCTGGTCTGGACTGAGGTTCTTTTGGAATCTTTGAGGTTCTTCAGATCTGCTCATGTCGCTCAAACTGTCGGGCTCAACATCATCCTGAAGGATTAGCCGCTCCGGCCTTTGGTCCGGTCTCTGGTCCGGTTTCTGGTCTGGTCTCTGATTTCGTCTCTGGTCCGGCCTCTGGTCTAGTATCTGATCCGGCCTTTGCTCTGGTCTCTGATCCAGTCTTTGGTCCATTCTCTGGTCCAGACCTAGAACAAAGAGACAGAAGTCACATTTAAAACATAGAGAAGGGAACACATCACCCCAGGGCTGAAGACTCTCAGTGAAACAGGTCTGATTTATGAACAATTAACACAGTGTAACCACGGAAACCAGATCCTGCTGAGACAAGGACAACAGATGCATTCAAGAGCACTTCAGACCCAGATCCGAACCCAAACCCAGACTCAGACCCAAACCCAGACTCGCTCAGAATAAGACTCACCCAGGTTTTGGGTCTGGTGAAGTCCGTGTGAGTCCAGCTTATCAGTAGGTCTCTGAGGGAGGATCCGCCGGCTCTTGTTCTCACTGTGGTCAAAACTGGGTCCAGACAGAGGACTAGACCCGGTCTGAGGACTGGACCCAGTCTCGTCGGCTAGACTGGCCCATCTGGAAACCCAGCGTGGGGCTTGGTCCAGGATCTGCTCTGATGTGATGTCACTCAGTCCAGTGTACTCCGGGGAATCCAGCACACCGAAGACCTGTAGGACCACAGGGTTACACAACAGAGAGGCACAGTGACACACACACAGAGACACACACGCACACACACAGAGAGACATAGAGACACACACACACAGAGTAAGTAAGTAGTAAGTAATCTTTATTTATATACCGCCTTTTCACTGCACATCGGAGTCTCACAGCGGTTTACAATTGTTATTTTTTTTTGGGAGTGGGGGTGCCAGTACAGGAGGCACATGCCAGACCTATTGTACATATTTTTAGTGGTAGGGGAAACCGGAGCACCCGGAGGAAACCTACGCAGACACGGGGAGAACATGCAAACTCCACTCAGAAAGTCCCTGGTCCAACCGGGATTCGAACCCAGGACCTTCTTGCTGGGAGGCGAGAGTGCTATCCACTCAGCCACCGTGCCGCCCGAGACAAACACACACACAGACACAGACAAACAGAGACACACTGAGAGAGACACACAGACACACACACAGACACACACACAGAGACACAAACACACACAGACACACAGACACACAGAGACACACATAGACACACAGAGACACAGACAAACAGAGACACACAAACACACACACAGAGACACACACACACACAGACACACACACAGAGACACACACACACACAGACACACACACAGAGACACAGACACACGAGATAATCCACCTGGTCGATCATGCTCCGCGCTTGCTCCACTTCTCCGTCCGGCTCGTTGTCGATGGTGTACGTCCCTGCGTCACTCACACAGTCGTCCTCTGGCGCCCCCTGTGGACAGAGACACACCGAGATCATCCACCCCAAAGGAGAAGTGCTCACAGAAACACACTGAGATCATCCACCCCGACCTCTACACCTGAGAAGAACCCTCTGAGATCCTCACCATGAGACCAATAGAGGCAGGACCAGGAGACACTAGGACTGTGACTCACCAGAATGGGAGGGGCAGACTTGGGTGGGGTGAGGGGCGGGTCTCTGGTGGGCTTGTACTGGTCGGCTCTGCTCCTGGCCTGGTCTCGGTCCAGGCCTTGGTCCAGTCCTCGATCCAGTGCTTGGTCCTGGGCTTTTCCCTGGCCTTGGTCCTGGGCTTGGTCCCGGGCTTGGTCCTGGGCTCGGTCCTGCCCCGGGTCTGGGTCTCTGAGGAGGTGGAAGTCTTGGCTCAATCTGGACTTGCGGCCCACACTTCCAAAGGGTCGTGTGGGGGGGCTCCCTGGGGCCCGAGTGGGGGGGCTCCCTGGGGTGGAGCTGGACCGGGACTTGGGGTCCATGGTCCCGTGGACTGAGGCGGGACGGTCTGGTCTGCGGCGGTCTAGACGAGCTCTGAGAGCGGCCTGGACCTCAGACTGGGGTCCAGAGGTCTGAGGGAACAGAGAAAGACCTGTTAATGAGAGAGACCAGAGAGAGACCATAGAGAGACCGGAAAGAGACCAGAGAGAGACCAGAGTGAGACCAGAAAGAGACCAGAGAGGGACTGGAAATAGACCAGAGAGAGACCAGAGAGGGACCGGAAAGTGACGAGAGAGAGACCAGAGTGAGACCAGAGAGGGACCAGAGATAGACCAGAGAGACCAAAGAGAGACATACACTACCGTTCAAAAGTGTTTTCCATGAAAAGTCACACTTATTCACCACCATACAGTGTGAAATGAATAGAAAATAGAGTCAAGACATTGACAAGGTTAGAAATAATTATTTGTATTTGAAATAAGATTTGTTTTACCTCCAACTTTGCTTTCGTCAAAGAATCCTCCATTTGCAGCAATTACAACATTGCACCAAAAACCAAACATTTGCAGCTAGAATAGTCATTTACCACATAAGCAATGTTTAGAGTGTATTTCTTTACAGTTAAGACTAGTTTTAAGTTATCTACAGCTTTTCCTTCAAAACTAAGGACATTTCAATGTGACCCCAAACTTTTGAACGGTAGTGTATATGTTTAAGTCCCGTTCACCTGAGGGCTGTGGGTGAATGACATGGATCGCTTTTTTCTTGGATTATCGTCATCGTAAAACTCAATGATGAAAGCCTGCTGAGGGGGAGGTGCTTGCTGAGGGGGAGGTGCTTGCTGAGGGGGTGGTGCTTGCTGAGGGGGAGGTGCTTGCTGAGAGGGAGGGGCCTGCTGAGAGGGAGGGGCCTGCTGAGGGGGAGGTGCTTGCTGAGGGGGAGGAGCCTGCTGAGGGGGAGGTGCTTGTTGAGGGGGAGGTGCCTGCTGAGGGGGAGGGGCTTGCTGAGGGGGTGGGGCCTGCTGAGGGGGAGGAGCCTGCCTAGGGGGAGGAGGCTGCTGAAGGGGAGGGGCCTGCTGAGGGGGAGGGGCCTGTTGAAGGTGTGTGGTCTGCTTAGAGGGCTGTGATTGGACAGGATCCTCTGAGTCGCTCTGAGTTCCGTCGTCATGGTGATGATCTGTAAGAAACACAAGATCTGAGAGTCAGATTTAGTTATGATTTCAGAAGCAAATGAGAGCACTGATGTAGACCATTCAGGACCATGAGGAGGCAGGCTGATCCTCCGCTAGTTCTGACCAGTGGGGGCGGGTCCCGAGTTTCATGAGCACGTGCGCTGACATGCTGCAGTCTCACTCCAGGCCGGTGGGCGTGTACCCGGAAAGAGAATTATCCAATGCTTTGGTATGGCGTCTTCTTTCCTCCTGGAAAACGTCTTTACAGAATGGTCCAAGAGTCGGCTCTTGGTCCAAAGCCACGTTCCAGATGCTGTCAATGCTGAGGGGAGTATATTTTTTTTTTGGACCAGTCAAGTTCAGCCTCTGGAGACTTTTGAAGGCAGTCGTTAAATGAATGAGGCTAGTGTCGGCTAATGAATGCGCAATTGCGTTTTTTCACATTTTCCTGCCCCCGCAGCCATTTTGAACAAGCTCCATAGAAGACAAAAGTGATGACACATTAGACCCAACAGAGGAGATAGGTGTGAATATGTTGTTAATATTTACAGACTTTAAAGCAGAGGTGTCCAAACCGGTCGAGAAAGGGCCGCTGTGGCTGCAGGTTTTCTATCAGACGAAGCAGGAATAGAGCAGACTCATCCCATTTACTCAAGTAAGCTCAGTCTTAACCTGAAGATTTGAGGAAATGGGAGGAGTCTGATCTGCTCCTGCTGGGTCTGATAGAAAACCTGCAGCCACAGCGGCCCTTTCTGGACCGGTTTGGACACCTCTGGTCTATGGTTCTGACCCGAGTTACAGAAATGCACCATGAACGCTTAAGAGCCCAAACATCACAAAAGATGTTTGGGACATCAGCCCAGTGCAGAAGTCCCTACACTTTAGCTAAGGTCTGGTCCTGCTCTGATCCTGGTCATGGTCCTGGTTTGGTCCTGATCTTACCTCTGGGAGTTCGAATCTTCACGCTGTAGTCGCTCTTGGTGCTGTAGACGTCGTCAGGTCTCGGTGCTCGCCGCATGAGGTTGACATCGCTGTGCACCAGCCAATCACAGACCTTCCTCTGCGATAAAATAACGTCCGGGTCCTGGTCCGGTCTCTTGGTTCGGGAAAACTTTGTCACCTGGTCTTTGATCTTGATCTTTCCCGGGGTGAGGTTGTCGAACTCAATGGTGAAGGAAGCGTGGCTCTGGACTGCAGCCGGAGTCTCGCTCTGGATCTGGTCTGGGGTCTGGGACTGGACCAGGTCTTGGATCTGGACTGAGTTTTGAGCCGGACCGTCCCGTGTGGGGATCTCAAAGTACCAAGGCTTGTTCTGGTCCGAGTCCTTCTGCAGATCTAAGACAGAGAGGCTCCGGGTTCACAACAGTTCACTTTAACTGGAGCACCCGGAGGAAACCAGAGCACCCAGAAGACATTGGTGCAGACACAAAGAGAACATGCAAACTCCACCCTGAAAGGCCCTGTGCCAACCAGGATTTGAACCAAGGGCGTGGTCTCACCTCTGTTGGCGTGGTCTCTGTCGTCCTGGTCGCCCCACCATGATGGCTGTCCGTACAGAGGAGTTGGACCTGAGTCTAAGGATAAAAGATGAGCTGGTTTAGACCTGTCTTAGTCCTGGTTCTTAGTTCTAGTCCAGACCTGTCTTAGTCCTGGTTCTTAGTTCTAGTCCAGACCTGTCTTAGTCCTGGTTCTTAGTTCTAGTTCAAACTTGGCTTGGTACCGGTTTTTAGTTCTAGTCCTGACCTGGCTTGGTCCTAGTTCGGTCCTGGTTCTTAGTTCTAGTCCAGACCTGGCTTGGGCCTCTTCTCCTCGGGGTCCCTCTGAGGCTCTGGGCTGATCTGCAGCTGACTTGTGTACTTCTCGTGCTGAAACACAGGGGGCGCCGTTACACTGCCGTCCACACATGTTTACATTTGACATGTGTTTTCACTCCTGATTGGCTCTAATGGTTACACATGAGAACCATATGGAAGCAGCCTGAGGCAGCTGGTTACGAGGACATGAGAACCATATGGAAACCGTTATGAAGATATGAGAACCATATGGAAGCAGCCTCACCTTCAGAGCCTCCTCTGGGACTTTGTGTTGACTCTTCTCCAGGACGTAAACGTGAGGATGTGAGACGCTCAGGAAGAGGTCACAGGTCACATTGAGGTCATAGGTCACAGGTCAGAGGTCACAGGTCAGAGTAGCGTTTCCACCGCAGGAGTTCCTGATAAAAGGAGGGACTTCTACAGGAACCGTCCTCTCCCTCATTTATGAAACTTGCGTCCGGCCAAATCATGGTGTAAATGAGGCGTACGCAAAAAATTTACACTTTTTAGCATTTATCAATCTGGACGTGAGCGTACGCTACGCACAAAATATACACCAGGTCAGGAGGTGGTGTAAATGTGTTCGCTCATGTCAACCTTCATTACAACACGCCAAAAACACGGATGAAATGCAAGATTTGGACAACAATAAACATATTCCCACTCTGGCAAAATTATAAGCTGCGTTTTCATTGAACATCATATTTGGAAATTTGAATTTGCGCATCAGAAAAACTCTAATGGAAACACGCAAACTTTGAATAAATCACAGATCATGATGAGGACCCTCTTCTGTTTCTTCGTTTTTAAAGTTTTTTTTAATCGTGAAGCGCTTTGTGATCCTGGTCTGTGAAAGGCGCTATACAAATACCCTTGACTTACTTACTTAATGTGTGACCCGCCCTGCACTGCGTAAATACTCATGGCTATTTGTTTTGCCTCATTCAAAGCAATGCATTTTTCATTAGTTTTGTGCATAAAGCTCCATAAACGCACCGATGGTGTCACTCAAATCTGTCTCAGCCACTGCCCTGTCCGCATGTAGCAGAGAGAGCATGGCAGCGCGCTTCTCTGCAGGAACAGGCTCACGGCCAGTGGCTCTTTGGGCAGTGGCTCTTTGGGCAGTGGCTCTTTGGGCAGTGGCTCTTTGGGCAGTGCGCAGAGGGTGCCACAGATGTCCCACCACAAAACTCTTCAAATGTGGTGCGCCCATTCAGACGTTTTGGATCCAGAGTTTCTCTGTGAAATCACGAACACCAAAAGCTTGCACATCCTTTCTCTCTCACAGAGATCGCTCCATCACATTCACAAGAAGATTCCACAGACGCTTCACCCGGTTAATGATGAGCCACCGCTGAGATATTAAGATTCTTTCATTCTTTCATTCATTCAGTCATTGATTCATTTACTCATTCACTTCTAAAGTTCGAGATGAGTGCTGAAACGGGGCGTGAAACAGGCGCACCCGCAGGTGCGTACGCTCGGATCTGGGCGGATCTCACACGTTCATAAATCCTGCGTTGGATTTCGCGTAACGGAATCTACACCAAAAATATACACCCTTTTCTGCACAAGTTTTATAAACTAGGCCCAGTGTCTCCGCTGCAAAGTACAACCCTCTGCGACGTCATGAGTGCCGATCGCTGCGTAATCAATAATTATTTATTTTACGGTCGGAACTGTTCCAGTTGCTGTGTTCTTTTTTTGTTGTGGAGTTTTTTTTTCTGAGCGTGATAAAATCCCCAAAGTTCCTGTGGTGGAAATGTGGGAAATGATCAGTACTCGGTCCAGTTCTCTTCACTCAATATGCTGCCAGGGCCCTGGCCCTGGTCACATGGTCCTGGTCACATGGTGCTGGTCACATGGTGCACATAAAGGATATCATAGCCAAAGCGGATGATGTCGTTGAGTTTCAGGCCGATGTAGGTCTGCTCTGGGATCCTCAGCTCGTTCACAAAGGTCTGAAGGACCAGAGGAAGACCGGTTATAAACCAGAACTAAAGCAGGTCTAACACAGGTCTAAAGCAGGTCTAAAGCAGGTCTAAAGCAGGTCTAAAGCAGGTCTAACACAGGTCTAAAGCAGGTCTAAAGCAGGTCTAAAGCAGGTCTAAAGCAGGTCTAACACAGGTCTAAAGCAGGTCTAAAGCAGGTCTAAAGCAGGTCTAAAGCAGGTCTAACACAGGTCTAAAGCAGGTCTAAAGCAGGTCTAACACAGGTCTAACACAGGTCTAAAGCAGGTCTAAAGCAGGTCTAACACAGGTCTAAAGCAGGTCTAACACAGGTCTAACACAGGTCTAAAGCAGGTCTAAAGCAGGTCTAAAGCAGGTCTAAAGCAGGTCTAACACAGGTCTAAAGCAGGTCTAAAGCAGGTCTAAAGCAGGTCTAAAGCAGGTCTAACACAGGTCTAAAGCAGGTCTAACGCAGGTCTAACACAGGTCTAAAGCAGGTCTAACACAGGTCTAGAGGAGGTCTAAGGCAGGTCTAAAGCCGGTCTAGAGCAGGTCTAAAGCAGGTCTCACCCCGTTCAAAGAGCCCAGATCCTTCAGCAAGTGTTGATCAGTGGTCGGATTGTAGTTGATGACAGCGTGTTGTTTGTCCACACTGCGAGACTGAAATACATGAGCTGTCATCAGGAGCTAGTGTCATCAGGAGCTAGTGTCATCAGGAGCTAGTCTCATCAGGAGCTAGTGTCATCAGGAGCTAGTCTCATCAGGAGCTAGTGTCATCAGGAGCTAGTCTCATCAGGAGCTAGTCTCATCAGGAGCTAGTCTCATCAGGATCTAGTGTCATCAGGAGCTAGTGTCATCAAGAGCTAGTGTCATCAGGAGCTAGTGTCATCAAGAGCTAGTGTCATCAGGAGCTAGTGTCATCAGGAGCTAGTTTCATCAGGATCTAGTGTCGTCAGGATCTAGAGTCATCAGGAACTAGTGTCATCAGGAGCTAGTGTCATCTGGAGCTAGCGTCATCAGGATCTAGTGTCATCAGGAGCTATTGTCATCAGGAGCTCGCGTCATCAGGATCTAATGTCATCAGGAGCTAGTGTCATCAGGATCTAATGTCATCAGGAGCTAGTGTCATCAGGATCTAATGTCATCAGGAGCTAGTGTCATCAGGAGCTGTCGTCAGGAGCTAGTATCATCAGGAGCTACAGTCATTAGAAGCTTGTGTCATCAGGAGCTTGTGTCATCAGGAGCTTGTGTCATCAGGAGCTAGTGTCATCAGGAGCTAGTGTTATCAGAAGCTTGTGTCATCAGGAGCTTGTGTCATCAGGAGCTGTCGTCAGGAGCTAGTGTCATCAGGAGCTAGTGTCATCAGGATCTAGTAGTAGTAGTAATCAGCATCTAGTGTCATCAGGAGCTAGTGTCATCAGGAGCTAGTGTCATCAGGAGCTAGTGTCATCAGGATCTAGTGTCATCAGGAGCTAGTGTCATCAGGATCTAGTGTCATCAGGAGCTAGTGTCATCAGGAGCTAGTGTCATCAGGAGCTAGTGTCATCAGGAGCTAGTGTCATCAGGAGCTAGTGTCATCAGGATCTAGTGTCATCAGGAGCTAGTGTCATCAGGATCTAGTGGCATCAGGAACTAGTCTCTCACCTGCAGCATCAGCTCGCAGTCGTCGCGTCCCACAAAGATCATCTCCCGCGGCAACCGGTGCCGAGTTCCCGCCCCACTCACCAGGAACCAGGAAGTGACACTCATGTCTGCGAGGGCCCCACAGCATGCTGGGAATCTGAGAGAGAGAGACTGTCAGACTGCACAAGAAACGCACAGCATGCATCTGAGAGAGAGACTGTCAGACTGTACAACAAATACAATATCAGACTATAGAGGCACACACTGTCAGACTGTACAACAACCACACTATCAGACTATATGAGGAACACACTGTCATACTGTACGAGGAACACACTGTCATACTGTACGAGGAACACACTGTCATACTGTACGAGGAGCACAGACCAGATTAGACCAGGATCCTGACTAGACCAGGACTAACCCCGGCTCCACAGTTGATCCACATTTTGCGCCTGTCACGTGACCTGATGTCAACTTGATAATGTATGACGTCAACGTCGTCCAACCGAACCACGCCCGGGTCTAGAGACCAAGACCTGAGACCAGGACCAAGACCCGAGACGGGGACCAAAGACGTCACAAACCTCCAGTGCTGTGGCGGCTCCTCTCCACAGCCGGAGATGGTGCTCTGTGAAGCGGCCACACGGAGAAGGGCGGTCCGCTCCTCTCACCGCCGAATAGAGCTCCGTAAGGCGGACAGACCGCGATAGACCGGGACAGACCGGGACAGACCGGGACAAAGGCTGGGGCGCGGTGGCTCTCGCGGGGGGCAGAGGCTCAGAGTTCCAGAAGAAGAGGAAGATGAGGAAGATGAGGAGGATGAGGAGGATACAGATGCTGATGATGCTGTTGTGGCATCCTCTGCCTCCGCGCATGCGCACGCGCACCTGCCGCCACCAGCTCGTCACCTGCTGCGTGCGCTCGCGTCAACGCTCACGCTCATCCCAGACCCAGTCCCAGACCCAGTCCCAGTCCCAGACCCAGTCCCAGACCCAGTCCCAGTCCAGCTGTTATCTCTCATACACAGATATACTTTATTAGAATGAGACAAAAGAGCAGCTGATCCCAGACCTAGACTAAACCTGGACTAAACCCAGACGGACCTAAGCCCTGGCCAGACCTGGACTAGACCCGGAACTAAACCCAGGCCAGACCTGGACTAGACTCAGACATTACCCTCTTAATATTAAAACAGCCCCTAACCCTTATGTATGACGCATCACTAACATTGCCCATCAACTCAGTGTCAGATATGGAGAGGGGGGCAAAAAAGTATTTAGTCAGCCACAAATTGTGAAAGTTCTCCCGCTGAAAAAGATGAGGGAGGCCTGTGATTTCCAAACCTCAACTATGAGAGACAGAATGAGAAACAAGATTCCAGAAACATTTTAAAGAATTTATTTGCAAATTTTGGTGGAAAATAAGTATTTGGTCAATCACAAAAGTTTATCTTATTACTTTTTTATATACCCTTTGTTGGCAACCAGTCTTCACAAGGTTTTCACACACTGTTTCTGGTATTTTGGCTCATGCAGATCTCCTCTAGAGCTGTGATGTTTTGGGGCTGTTGCTGGGCAAACCAGACGTTCAGATTTCCTATGGGGTTGAGATCTGGAGACTGGCAAGGCCACTCCAGGACCTTTAAATGCTTCTTTCAAATCCACTACTTCCCAAGACCCAGCCACGTTTCATCTTCAATGCCATTGCTGATGGAAGTTTTTCATTCAAAATTTCACAATACATGGCTCCATTCATTCTTTCCTTTACATGGATCAGTCGTCCTGGTCCCTTTGCAGAAAAACAGCCCAAAGGATGATGTTTCCACCCCCTGCTTCACAGTAGGTATGGTGTTCTTTGGATGCAACTCAGCATTCTTTCTCCTCCAAACATGACAAGTTGAGTTTTTACCAAAAAGTTCTTTTTTGTTTTCATCTGCCCATATGACATTCTCCCAATCCTCTTCTGGATCATCCAAACGTTCTCTAGAAAACTTCATACGGTCCTGGACATGCACTGGCTTAAGCAGGGGGCGCGTCTGGCACTGCAGGATTTGAGTCCCTGGCGGCGTAGTGTGTTACTGATGTAAGTCTTTGTGACTTTGGTCCCAGCTCTCTGCAGGTCATTCACCAGATCTCCTCGTGTGGTTCTGGGATTTTTGCTCACCTCTCTTGACCATTTTGACCCCACAAGGTGAGATCTTGGGTGGAGCCCATAGAGCGTAAATATGAATGAACGTAGTCACGCCTATCATCGTTGTTCAAACTAATGTGCAATCACTTTTACCTTCTATAGGGATTTTCAAAATGGCTGTGGGGGCTGGAAAATGTGAAAAAACGCATTTACCCATGCGTCAGCCGGGACTAGCCCCATTCGTTTGACCACTGCAACTAAACTAGACTGGTCTAGTTTAGTTTAGGTTGAAAAAAACACTCCCCTCAGCATTGACACACATGTGGAGCTGTCAGGATGAAGCAGACAGAGACGGATCGTGGTGCGCCAAACTCTGGAAGTTTATTTAAGTTTCTCTCAAGTTCCAGTGGTTTCCTTTGTTTCTTTCTCTCAGACAGAATAAAGGCAGTACACAGTTTATATAGTCATTGTCACGTCACACATGGAAAGACATACGTGTCACAAAGAGACAGTCACATCATAGTCATAACATGGAGTCCTTGTACAGTTCTGCACGTAGGCCATATTGCTATCTAATACTAACACCCTCCCCTTTGATCACATAATCACATGTGATCACTCAAATCGATCAATCAATAAAGTGGAAAAAGAAAACAAAATCTAAAAAAAACTTTACAAAATTATTAAAAAACAAAGAAAATGTATGCATTAAACTCATAATCATCAAATCAATATCAGTGGATTTTATCCTCTATCCTGGGAAAAAACAACAAACAAAAACAAAGTAAATAAATAAACAAATCAAAAATAAAAACAAACAAACACTATTGGACACACAAGAACTCAGCAGATTCAGTCAAAACACAGACAAAAACAAGCTGAGTCTCAAATTTGAAGCTAATTTCACTTTTATTACTCTACTATTATTCTAATGATAATTGTTTACACTACACTTCACTTATTTCACTTTCTAATCTTAGACTGTGTACTTTACTTTTATGATTCACTATAGTTTAAAACTATTCTAATCTATTCACAAATATGTTTGCATATTTGCTTCTATTGAGCCATATTCTTAAACATACATTTTAATCTTATAAATCTCTCTATGGTTTTATACTCTCATTATCAGTGGCTTATTATCAGTTGGATTTTGCTCTATGTCTATTCTCATTCTCAGGAATAAAACTGTGAACACAGTAAGGCAAATGGTCAACATTTACACTTCTATAGTGGTCAGTGATTTATTACTTTTTATTATCTAAAGATATTATTGTCAGGCAGTTTGGGATGAATGAACATCATTAATCAAATTAGTATTATCCTTACAAGAGCTAATCTATTTTAGCAGGTTTGGGGTTGGGGTCAGTTATTCCACAATGGTGTTTGATTCTCTAATCTGTGCTGGCAAATCAACAACTTTTAACTTCTCAAAGATGCTTTTGAATCTCTGTTGGTTGTAATCTATCTAATTGATCTAAGCTACATTAATCTAGGCTACACTCATATGGACTTTTTGTATTGTCAACAACATGTTTGAACACAAGTGAATTTGGAAGGTATCTAATAAAACTGTACATAAACTGTAATGAACTTTATCTACTTTTGAAGTAAATATTTGTGAAATGGTCCTTTTACCATTTGATATTAGCACTGGCTACAAATAATCTCTATTTTTGAAAGCATCTATGGTTGATGCTTTTATCTAATTCTATTTTTACTCTATTTTTTAACTCCAAAGCTCGGCTGCAGCTTGAGCAAAGGCATATTTCTAATTTGTGACTTCTGTCACTTTTAATGGCTGTAACATAACTCTGATTCTAATATTTTAGCTGATCTATCAAAAGGATAACATTGTAGGGTACTATTTTAACTCTTATGTGGAAATGTGTTTATGAACAACAAAGGAAGGACAATTCTACTTTTTTACTACTATTTAACATCTACTAAAACGCTACAATACTCATACTTTATCATTTTAAAACATTTTAACAGTTGCTCAGTCTCCCAGACTAAAAAGTCAAAGTTTTTGTCTGTCAAATGTCTGAATACTTAACATGTATATGTATTTGGTCACAGGTTCTGGTTGTAGCAATAGCATCGGCAATAGACGTTTTTCATTGGCTGGTTCTTGTTCTGCAAATGGCTGTGTCCAATAGATCATCAGATGTCCAGAAGCTAGGGACAAACAAAAACAAAACAAAGAATCATGAGTATCTCTCTCATTTAGCACTCATCAATGGCATTATTTCAATAATATAAACATCACTCCCCAGTTTTTTCTCTCTCAGGGTCCTCAGATCCTCAGGTCGTCAGGTCCCCTGAGGGTGAGTCTCAGTCGTCATCAGGTCAGGTCATATTTTGAGAGATGTCATCTTGGACATCAGTAGGGTCCAAGCCATGGTTCTGGTCTCTCCAGATGCACATCAGGATCTCCAGATACAGTCTTTTCACTCGAAGCACATCAGGTCATTTGCGATGCACTTCTGGTCAATGGTGCAGTGTCTCAGTTCCTGTACACAGCTTGTTATGCAATAGTTACTTTCTATGGTTAATCACTTTGATTCTAATCCTAATCAATGTAATTACTTCACACAGTACAAAATCAACAAATCAAAAGTGTCAGGACAGACGTCAATTAAGTCCATGACAATATAGAATTCAAATGAACATATCTGGTCTCAAAAAATACAGATTCAAGTAAAGATTCAAGTGATAGACAATTAAAAATGTGTTTACATTTGAGTAAACTTTTAAAAGGCTTTTTTCTCATGTTCTGCTTTTTCATGTATCTATATGTAAATGTGAATGTGTGAGTGTATGTATGTGTGTATGTGTGTGTGTGTGTGTATGTAGAGTGTGAATTTTGGGGTTGTGTCTCCAGACTCCTCGAACCACCTGCAGGTCTCAAAGGTCACACTGTGGTGATGTAAACCAACTGGACACACTCTCAACTCTCATTCAGGTCTCTCCCTGATGCTCCACCCATCACGTCTCCAGATACCTCTCTTTCATGGCCCCGGTCTCTCTCACACCCACTCAGTTCTGCAGTGGCGTGGGGAGGGGCAAGGAGGTGGCATTTCCCTTTGCTCTTTGATCTGTGACCTGTGGCTGGGTGGGCTTTGGTGTCCAGTGTCCAGCAGTGACCTCTCACACAGTGTGGCAGAGTCTGAAAAACAATCCTTGAGACGGCCAATTTAAAAACAACAATAGATATCAGTATGTGAATGAGATTGTTTTTCTCCCTAAAGTCAAAACAATTTTGGAGCGCTCTGGGTTTTTCAACATGCGCTATGTAAATAAAGATTACTTATTATCTTACTAATGATGACATTTTAAGACCAGAAACTCTCTTATTAAAAAACAAGACTCAAATCTCTTAAACCTTCAAACTTTAAAATATGTATTATGTACTTTTGTACTGTGTGTTTAATTATCTATGCGTCCTTGGGTTTCACTTTATGGACTTTCCCTTTTACACTTATTTATCTCAGCATCTATTCTACTAATTTAAAATAATTGCAGCATTTTCAAATTAAGTCATGAATTGGAGCACATTTCAGATCAGTCTCCTGTGCTGCGTGCATCAGCAGCAGTAAGGTCAGGCGTGTAGTCAAAACAAAAACAAAAAGTCGCCACTTGCATGTGAATTGGGTGAAGTTTAACTTAATAATATAATACTTTTACAGCTAATTCCTAATTCCCTCTTTCTTTTTAGACGAAGTCTATAATCAATAATCACTTTTAACACAGATTCTAATTTAAATGTTTGAAAAACGGCTTTTGTAACTAAAATAAAAAATACATGAAAAAATTCTCACTAACAGCTATGAAATATATCAGAGATACAATAATGGACTCAAAAATAAGCAGCAGATTTAAAAAGAAAAGCAAAGCTTTAGCACTAATATTTGGGTTTCAAAAACATACTAATTCAAAACTTCTATTCCCTAATGGTGTTTAAAAACGTTTAACTGTGTCTAACACAATGTTCAAATGGCAAATGTCGCAAATTTAACGGAATAACAACTATGAAAAGCCTAAATCCTAAAAGCAGTAGCTTTGCTCTGATTCAGAGCCAGAGCAGCAAAGGAGGGGGCCGTTTCCCTGACAACGGCAGCAAGATAGAGCTGCACACACACAGGCAGAAAGTAGTGTTTTAGCAAAAATGCTAAAACAGAAAGAAGAATAACTTTCAAGATTACTTTGTTAAGCGAATATAACGGATGTTGTTCTTTAAACTTTTGTCATCCAAGTCTAGAAATGGCCACTTTCCACACTAGTAACAAAAGGCACTCTTTAGTGTTTAACGTTTCCCTTTTTATTATAACTTTAAATTTTACACCATGGTTTCACCAACTATTTTCTATTCTCTATTCTCTGCCCCGGCTACTCCAAAGGCAGGGACCCCGATACGTCAGGGGTTCCTTTTTCTCTCTGTCCTGACTACTTCAAAGGACAGGGACCCCGATACGTCAGGGGTTCCTTTTTCTCTCTGTCCTGACTACTTCAAAGGACAGGGACCCCGATACGTCAGGGGTTCCTTTTTCTCTCTGTCCTGACTACTTCAAAGGACAGGGACCCCGATACGTCAGGGGTACCTTTTTCTCTAATATTATCTATAGATATTAGACATTTGGTGGACCTCAAAACAGACCATAATTTAGTTCACTCAATTAGCAGACTTTGAATAAACAGGTGTCCGCTCTTACCTTTTGTCAAACAGGGCGCCAGGCACAGTCAGAAGTCCACCAAATATCAGCTTTTCCACGTCCAACCAGGTCTCCAGATCATGAACCAGCGCTCACTAGTACCGGGAACTAGTTTCCATCGGCAGAGACCAATCGCACGTCAAAAATCCCCGGAATGTGGACATGGGAAAACAATTTTAAACGCTCAGTCCAAAAAACAGGACACAAAAAAATATAGTGAGAGAGCGAAAAAGAGTCCCGGAGCCGGTCGCCTCTCCAGCCTGCTGGACCGCTCCCAGGCCCCAGACACTCTCAGCTCTCCCACGCCGAGAAAAATAAACAAAGAAAACTCCCTCAAAACAATCCAGAGAATGGCACACACTGAGCCGCGCATTCTCTTTGTTTTTTTCTCTCAGACAGAATAAAGGCAGTACACAGTTTATATAGTCATTGTCACGTCACACATCGAAAGACATACGTGTCACAAAGAGACAGTCACATCATAGTCATAACATGGAGTCCTTGTACAGTCCTGCAAGTAGGCCATATTGCTATCTAATACTAACAGAGCGTAGCTTTGAACCAAGAGCCGACTTTTGGACCATCCTGTAAAGCCATTTTTTCGAGAGTTAATAAGATGCTGTACATAGAGCATTGAATAATTCTTATTTCGGGTCCACCCCCATCAGCCTGTGGTGGTATTGCAACTGCAAGCATGTCAGCGCACATCATTTTCCAAATTTTTGAGCCAGGACTCGCCCACTGGTGGAGCCCCAGATCGAGGGAGATCTGAATCTGAATTATCCATGGTCTTGTATGTCTTCCATTTTCTAATAATTACTCCCACATTTGCTTACCTATTGCCGGTTCTGTCTTCCCAGTCTGGTGCAGGTCTACAATTTTGATTCTGGTGTCCTTTGACAGCTCTTTGGTCTTGGCCATAGTTAAATTTGAAAAAAAATTTGAAAAAAAAATCTAATTCTGTTTCTCACAGCGGAGGTTTACCTATGATGAAAATTACAGGCTTCCCTCATCTTTTTAAGTGAGAGAACTTGAAAACTTGATGGCTGACGCACATACACACACACACACACACACACACACACACACACAAACACACACACACACACACACACCAGCAGAGGGCGCCGCCTCACCACTCACCATACAACGGCACAGAGGAGCAGTGTTTGCCCCACTTTAAAAACCCTTCACTATGTCTCTCTTAACTTACGTAACCTACTAACTGTAAAGCTGGGCTATGTAACTTCTGTAACTGGATCAAAGAGAGGACCACCCTCACTCAGCCAATCAGCTCTCAGCCCAAAGAGGCAGATAGTGACTCACAGGGCTCCTGATGAAAACAAGATGTTGTGTTAAAGTTACAGACCCCAGCTTTAAACATGTGTTATTTATTAAACTAAAGTTACAGACCCCAGCTTTAAACATGTGTTATTTATTAAACTAAAGTTACAGACCCCAGCTTTAAACATGTGTTATTTATGAGACTAATGTTACAGACCTGAGCTTTAATTCTTCCTCTGGGACGCTCAGGTCTACTGTGTGTCATGCTTTCACACACGCTCTGGTCCTAGGTGGATCTGACAGGACTGAACCAGGTCTGAACAGAACCAGGACTGTTGGACTGGACCAGGTCTAGGGGAGGATCTGTGGGAGGGGAATAGAGTCAAAGAGTTTCTGTGTTTTGTGTTTTGAACGTGGCAGCGAAAGGGACGCAGAGAGAGGAGGGAAGGAGATAAGGAGACAAGGAGATAAGGGAAGGAGACTCAGAGTGAAGTGGACAGAGAGGAGAACAGGCTGAGGAGGTGAGTGTGGAGGAGACACAGAGAGGAGAACAGGCTGAGGAGGTGAGTGTGGAGGAGACACAGAGAGGAGAACAGGCTGAGGAGGTGAGTGTGGAGGAGACACAGAGAGGAGAACAGGCTGAGGAGGTGAGTGTGGAGGAGACACAGAGAGGACAACAGGCTGAGGAGGTGAGTGTGGAGGAGACACAGAGAGGAGAACAGGCTGAGGAGGTGAGTGTGGAGGAGACACAGAGAGGAGAACAGGCTGAGGAGGTGAGTGTGGAGGAGACACAGAGAGGAGAACAGGCTGAGGAGGTGAGTGTGGAGGAGACACAGAGAGGAGAACAGGCTGAGGAGGTGAGTGTGGAGGAGACACAGAGAGGAGAACAGGCTGAGGAGGTGAGTGTGGAGGAGACACAGAGAGGAGAACAGGCTGAGGAGGTGAGTGTGGAGGAGACACAGAGAGGAGGGAAGGAGAAGAGGAGTTTTGCAGCTGGACGGCAGGTCTGGGTCAGGTCTGGGTTTGGTCCTGGTCTGTGTCAGCTCTGAGTTTGGGTCTGTTCCTGACACTGGTCCTGACCCTGGTTTGGTTCTGGGTCTGGTCTTGGTCAGGGTCAGGGTCAGGCTCTAGGTCAAGTCTGGGTCTGGGTCCTGGTCTGGTCCTGGTCTTGGTCTGGGTCCTGTCTGGGTTTTGGTCAAGTCTGTCCTGGTCCTGGTCCTCTTTAATGTGAGTGTGTGTGTGCGTCCTACATAAATAAACTTCCTCTTTTAGATCATGTGGATTTCCCGCCTCTCGCTGCGTCTTAGTCATGCCTGTCGCCATGGAGACCAGCGCTCCATTGCAACCCTTGTCAGCGGAAACAAGATTGCCAAGTAAGTCCTGTCTGATCCTCATGGGTCTGGTCCACATGGGTCTGGTCCTCATGAGTCTAGTCCACATAGGTCTGGTCCACATGGGTCTGCTCCTCATGGATCTGTTCCTCATGGGTCTGGTCCTCATGGGTCTGGTCCTCATGGGTCTGGTCCACATGGGTCTGCTCCTCATGGATCTGTTCCTCATGGGTCTGGTCCACATGGGTCTGGTCCTCATGGGTCTGGTCCACATAGGTCTGGTCCACATGGGTCTGCTCCTCATGGATCTGTTCCTCATGGGTCTGGTCCTCATGGGTCGGGTCCATATGGGTCTGGTCCACATGGGTCTGGTCTGGTTATGTTTACATTGGTCTCTCTCTCAGACAGGTGAAGCAGAGGCTGGCACTGCAGGTGGACCAGATCCAGGACCAGTTCTCAGGGATCAGACCAGGACTTGTGGTTCTGCAGGTACACACACACACACACACACACATATACAAACTCTTTCCTAGTTCAATTCAACAATGATTTAGAACCAGACTCATGTAATCACAGAAACCAGAACCTACTGAGACACAATCAGTAGATGCATGTAAGAGCGCAGGGAAAAGCAACTGTTTGGAGTAGCAGTAGTAGTAATAGTAGCAGTAGTAGTAGTAGTAGCAGTAGTAGCAGTAGTAGTAGTAGCAGTAGTAGTAGTAGTAGCAGTAGTAGTAGCAGTATTAGTAGTAGTAGCAGTAGTAGTAGTAGCAGTAGTAGTAGCAGTAGTAGTAGCAGTAGCAGTAGATTTTCACACTGGACTCTGGACTCTTATCTTTAGTTTGTTTAGTTTTGGATGCACCTGTGGATTCCCGCATAAAACGAGATTAACCAGTTCTGAACCAGGTCTGAACCTGGTCTGAACCATGTCTGAACCAGGTCTGAACCAGGTCTGTCTTTTAGGTTGGGGACAGAGACGACTCAAACCTGTACATCAGCTCCAAACTGAAGGCAGCAGCAGAGGTGAGATCCAGACCCAGACCCAGTCCATGACCAGGACCAGGACCGGGACCAGGACCCAGACCCAGACCCAGACCTCCATGTATTACACAGCACTAACACTGCTTTTTCTTCAGTAAAGACGGGGAGAGCTGTTTTGTAAAGAGGAATGGGCAAAACTTCCAGTCTTTGGATGTGCAGAACATGTGACCATCTTGTTTTTCAGATTGGGATCAACGCCAAACACATCCGTCTCCCCAGCACCACCTGCCAGGAGGAGGTTAGTACTGCAGCCAGGGACCAGACACTGCACAGTATACAGAGGGACTAACCCGGGGAAGTGCTCATGGTGAAGTTTGGCTCCTCGCTCTCTCTGGATCTCATTTTGGGCTTAAATCCGTGGCTCATCACTCTGTCATCCTGCTGTTTATATGTGATGTTTTTAATTCAATTCAATTCTAACTGTTTGTGAATCACCCGAATCACAGCAGCAGTCGTCCTGGAGGACTTCACAAAGTTGTGGTTTCACCAACAACAGATCAGAGAATCAAACAGTTCAAACACACGAAAAGCAATAATAACAAACATATAGAAGCCATTGGACCAGAGGGAGCAGGACTGAGGCTGTAGATCCAGGACCGCGGCTGTAGGCCCAGGACTGAGGCTTTAGATCCAGGACTGAGGCTGTAGACCCAGGACCGAGGCTGTAGACCCAGGACCGAGGCCATAGACCCAGGGCCGAGGCTGTAGATCCAGGACTGAGGCTGTAGATTATTATATTAAAAAATGACGTGTTCAAAATCCCTTATAAAGATGACCATGATTCAGAAAGTTAAATTCAAAAAGGTTTATTTCCCTAATACAAAAAGAATCTAACACAACGACCTGGACCAACTTTAACTATCCCTTATTCCCTATATAAAGTATAAAGTATGATTTTGGTGGGCGCTCCACGCAAACTCACACTGCTGTCCCTGATCCAGTCTAAAAAAACTCTAACTCACACATTCAAGCTATTTCCTTAAGTAAAATGTGCAGGAAGAAGGGGCGTGGTATCAGCCAGCTTCCGGGGTCCCGTGGTCCGCCTCCCTCCATCTGTCTTCTCCCGTCTGCATCTGAAAAAGAATCCATTGCCTCTCTAGCCTAACGTCTCTGGTCCAGCTGTCTCTTAGTCTGAGATCCATCTCTGTGGTCTAAACAAGTGGTAGACTAGCAGGCTCCAGTGTCATCCCACTCCTGATGGAGTGGGTTTAATAATGCAACAGTCAGCCAAAATCCAAACAGAAGAACCCATCTGTCATTTAGCAGGTCCAAGAAGACCCCTAAAATTAACTTAAAAGGACTGGCCTGCCACTCAGGGGTCGATAGACATTCTAAAACACATGGTTTTAGAATGTCTCTTAGTTATAAATACAACATTCCCTCTTTTGGCCGCTATTAGAAAGGCCACACATCTCAATAACCTTCCTCAGGCGACGGGACGGGGGAATCCTCAACCAATGCAAGCATTTGACCTCTCAGTCCAGGGTTAACAGCGGTGTCTATAGCTTTAACACAAAGAGAACGTATACAAGGTATACAGCAACATCCTACAACCATTATTATTGCAAAGATGGCCGCAAGGCTTGTGATAACAGACAAAATTACATGCTTCCACTTCCCCAAGATGCTGTCCAGCCACGCCTCCAGTGGGTTCTCCGGGACTCCAGAAACGTCATGCATTTGCTCTGACAGCATTTTGAGACCAGCCAGAGCTTTGGAAACTGATCCATCTGGATGTGTGTTATTTGGAATGTATACACAACATTCTGTACCAAATAGACTGCAGACCCCACCTTTCTCTGCTAAGAGCATGTCTAGAGCCACTCTGTTTTGAAATGCTACCAGAGAGGTGGCCCCCAGCTGCTCCGCCAATCCCTCTATTGCGTCCCTGGTGTGATTGGCAAGCCTAAGCATAGTATACCAAATGAAATTAATTCTATCTACATTTTTGTTTGGCGTGATAGGGAAAATAGCGGAAATTATGGGAATATTTTCGAAACCTGTTGCAATTTGATCTACCAGTTTGAATTCCTGAGGGACTCCACGTGGAACACCTATAGAGTCCATGTAAGTTGGATTATCTTTCCCAGTATCTAGGAATGGTATTGCTCTTTTAAATCTATGCAGTGGGTGGGGACTGTCTAGGGATGGCTTATGGCCAATTATGGAAATGGGCATCATTAATCGCACCATTGCACAACTGCCTGTAAAATTTTTTATTAGTCTATGTCTAAGTTTTAAATCTCCACACAACCAATACAAATCACCTCTGGTCCGGGTCATGGGGACCGGACTGGGCAAGGTCACGTTGTTGACACACCAGTCTGCTGGAAGGAACCCCCACTGGAGACGCGGCCTCGTCCCTCCATTGAGTGAGTGGAAACAGGTGTAATTGCTTCTCCTGTGGGAAAACATAGGGGGCTGAATTTCTGAATCCAATTCTGGAAACAATACTTCAAACATTGAACAGTTGCTAGGGACTGTCTTTGTCTCCTCAGTCAGGTCCTTTTCTTGCCAAAACAACTTTATCATACAATTATAACCATCTACATCTTCTGGGAAAAGTGGAGCAGGGGCTGTATACAAAGTGGGACGTGCAGTGGAGCACACAACACAATCGTCAAAGCCAGCAGCCGCTGACATGTGTTCCACGGTCCACAACCAAGCGTTTCTATCCCCATATCCAGTTGCTTGTTTTAACAATTCAGAAACAGTCCAGTCAGCAGTCACCTGTACGTTTTGTTTGTCTTGCCATACTTCACTATCTATGGCCTCCTTGTCTAGCTCCTTGTCCTCGGGTAGGGCAATTGAAATCCATTGTCTAATGTCTCCTGGATAATGTCCAATAACGTAAGTCCCATTCACATCAATCCCACAATTTTTCACAGTGACTAGCACCGTTGTTTGTGAGTGGTCTGTAGTCAGAATCACTCGTCCCTTCAATCTGTGTTCATTATTATAACCCCAATCAGGACCTGTATTGGATATAACATACTCCCAAGCATCACAGGTGCAGTCCACCGATGCTCTAAAGCTTTTTCCATGTCTCTCATATTTACATGTTGACGGTGTGTAACACAGGTAGAGTGTGTAGTCAGGTCGAAAGGATAAGGGAAAGATTGTTGCCATTGGTATGTGGGCTGTAATTGTCGCACCCACCGGGCATTTTACTGTCACAACCGTAGGTAGAGAGTCTCTAACGCTGCCTTCTCCTATGGATCTTTTATTTCTGTCAGTCTTATTGGACCAAAGACTGGATTGTGTTACAAGTCTGGCCCTGTCTCTTAGCTGTGTGTTTTCTAACACTTCCCATGTTAAAATTCCCAGGACCACGACCAAACCAACTGCAGCGATAGCCCATAGGATGGCTCTCCCTCTTTTGGTCGTGGGCCAGGGCTCCCTGTCCCAAGGCAACATATTAAGAGCGAGTGTAAGCGTGTGTGAGTCACTGTCCAACCCGTGAGCGTGGTTACGAGGGTGGGTCAGATGGTCTCGTATGAGAGAGATGAAACCACTTGTTCCCGTGTCCCTTCAGTTGAACAGCTTTGCGAGTGCGGGCCACCACTTCAAAGGGTCCGGTCCAGCGGGGCTCGTTCCACTTCCTTTTGAACACCTTCACACGGACCCAGGCAGGTGGATCCTCCGAGGCCTCCTTCTCGCAGAGGTCGAGACTTCCTTCAACCTGTTGGGAAAAACTAGACAACATTTCTCTCAATTGTTCCCAGTACACCCGCACTGGGGGTGTTGGGGAGTCGTCTTTTGTGAAAGGCACCACCCTGTTCCCTGGTCCTGGCATAGGCCTCCCTGTTAACAGCTCGTATGGGGAGAAATGGTGAATGCGGTTAACAGAGTGCCTTGCTGACAACAGGGCAATAGGCAATGCCTGTAGCCAATTCAATTTACTCGTTGCCAGGATTTTAGAGAGTTTACTTTTCAAGGTCTGATTCATCCTTTCAACTCGGCCCTGGGATTGAGGATGGTAGACCGTTCCAAATTTATGTTTTAGCCCCAGATGTTTTTCTACCAATTGCAAGTGTTTGTTCCTGAAATGCGTCCCATTGTCAGACCTTATTAACTGGGGAAAGCCATGCGTTGGGATGTAATGTTGAATTAAGGCTTTGATTACAGAGGCAGCATCCTCCTTTGCAGCAGGATATGCCTCAGGCCATCCCGTAAAGGTGTCAGTGATGACCAACAGGTACCGCTTTCCTGCGCACCTGTTAATCATATCTGTGAAGTCCATCACAACATGTGCTCCAGGCCAAGCAGCAGGTGTGAATTTTCCTGGGGAAACAGCTGAGCAGGGCGATGGGTTATAATTTTGACATATTTGACAGGACCTAGTATAATCTTGGATCATGTTTGTCTTAAAGGGATGCCACCATTGTGACATATTCCTGAGCATCTGTACCTGACCCACATGGGCTAGCCCATGTGCCTCAGATAAAGCCGCTCGTGAGAGGTCCCCCATGGGCAGGGCGGGGCGGCCATCAGGGCCGTACCAGATGCCAGTATCTGGATCCTTCTTTGCCCGTTTTTGAACCCACATGGATATTTCTTCAGGAGCTGCTTTTGTTTGGGCCTCAGCTAAAACCTGAAGGGACAGATCGGGCAGGCAGTCTGCCAGGTCTGGCCCCTCGTCCCGAACCACAAACACTCCTGGAGTACTGACCTTGTAGTTGGCAGCTTTCTTTGCGGCCTCATCCGCAGCCTCGTTTCCCCTGGCCTCAAAGTTGTCTGACTTGGAGTGCCCTTGGCACTTGATGACGCTCACCTGTTTTGGAAGCTGGAGAGCGCTGTCCAGCCTCTCCACCAGGGCTCTATGTGTGATGGGTCGGCCTTTAGCAGTCAAGAAGCCGTTTCTTTTCCACTCGGAGAGGTTGAAATGGACAGCCTGAGTAGCATACGCAGAGTCGGAGTAAATATTTACAGATTTACCTTTAGCAAACTCCAAGGCGGCGCAGAGAGCCTCTAGTTCTGCCGCCTGCGCTGATGGTTTGTCAGTTAAAACACCGCTGTTTACTGTAACAAAATTTTCACCGTTAACACTGACAACTGCATATGCCGCTCTCAGGCTGCCATTCCTCTCTCTCCAGCAACACCCATCTGTGAAAAGCTGTAAGTCGGGGTCCTGAAGTGGGTCAGTCTGGAGGTCAGGTCGCACCTTCAGACTGTCTATTACTCTTACACTGCAGTCATGAGGCTCACCCTGTCTTGGCATGTGGTCAGCCATGTTAA